CTTTTACCACTATTTACTGGTAAAACTGGTGTAGTCGGTCGGTGACCCCACTTGTCTTACACCATTCGATGCAGAATGACGAGATCTATATATCCCAGAGGTTTCAGAGATATCCCAAGTACTGGAGCGAATATCAGCAGGATATACTGGTAAAATCTACTATTTTACTACTATTTACTGGTAAAACTGGTGTAGTGGGTCGGTGACCCCACTTGTCTTACACCATTCGATGCAGAATGACGAGATCTATATATCCCAAAGGTTTCAGAGATATCCCAAGTAGTGGGACGAATATCAGCAGGATATACTAGTAAAAATCACTATTTTACTACTATTTATTGGTAGAAGCGTTACTTTCAGTCGACGATACCCCACTTGTCTTACACCATTCGATGCAGAATGACGAGATCTATATATCCCAGAGGTTTCAGAGATATCCCAAGTACTGGAGCGAATATCAGCAGGATATACTGGTAAAATCTACTATTTTACTACTATTTACTGGTAAAACTGGTGTAGTGGGTCGGTGACCCCACTTGTCTTACACCATTCGATGCAGAATGACGAGATCTATCCATCCCAGGAGTTTCACACTCATCCCAAGTACTGGAGCGAATGTCAGCAGGATATACTCGAATCCGCTGCTAACTTCCATTACGTGTACATCTCGACTGAGGGTGCCGCGGGGGGGGGGGGGGGCACACGCGTATAACTTGACGGTATGGATGCGAGGGTATATAGCTATAAGTGAAACTAAATCTATTTCTATTCCTATGTAGATAGGGATTGTAGTGTGCTAGGAATATGCCACTTATATTATAAGTCGAATTAGGCAGCTACTCATTGTCGGATGTAATACTTAGGGTTCTCGAATCAGTAAAAATGTATAGCATAATCTTATATAAGATTTCGTAGCTTGTCGACCGATTACTATAGTCTATTCCACTTAGTACGAAGTTTGAGCAATAATTATAAAGCAACATCCTACTCTATTCAAGATGTCTATGATTTGCCATTCATATTATATCAAATAAGAGTCAACAAATTTGTATAAATCGATGTAATAGATAAATCTCTTTCTCATAATGATGAAAGCATGACTCTCTGGCTTCTTCATACAAAATGTTATTCAAAAACTAGCCACTCGTCTTTTTTTTTCGAGTGGATATTGGAATGAATGACACATACGTGTGCTTTTTCAACGGATACGGAAAAATGTACAAGTGATCACATAAAAGTATTGTTCACTTTAAAAGAATGGTTATTTTCTACATAATAAATCTGTTTCGCTTTCTTTTCTGTGCAAGATACATGCTGTCAGATAGCGCAAACTATCACTAAATACTTTCTAACATTTTAAATTTTGATTCGTTCGGAAGCAAATCCCCATATGATTGCACCGTTCGATGAAATATTTGATCGCACAACATCGTTTTTCATGTCTTCGGTTGAGTTTGCTAAAGGTAAAATCTATGGCGTTCTACGGGCACGTGTTGTTGCCGATAACGGCGAAGATCATTCACATAGAACCGATGAAAGTCATTACAATCTGATCTCTGTCGATGATGGTCAAGGTCAAACAACTGAACAATATCAAATCAATATCGATATTCAATCACTTCAATCTGCTAATGTTAAATGTATTTCTATTGATCCATTTAACAATCCTTCGATCCAATTTTCGACGGTTCCTATCGGCTTTACCGCTCTACCAACAGCTGATAGTGATGGTCTGGCATTGGATTTTATTCGACGACCTATATTTGATTTGAATCTGTTAATTCAATCTGAACCATTAACTGCCGATCAGATTGCAGATCGACTTGATGGTTATTTTAAACACGACAAACCGAATGTAATCGTATTCGGAACGAAATATGATGATCAACATGTTGCCACCGAACAACATTACGGTTTACAACGTGCAATGAAAGAAAAGAAACCGTCACGTGGTATTGATGATATTCATATGAATCAGATTGTTGGAAAAGATGGGCATGCTTATCAAGATGGAGCGTTATTTATTCAAAAAGAGAACGAAGAAAACTCCTACGTTGCGTTGTTTTTCTGTTTTGCTAGTCAATGTAAAACAGATGCAGAAGAAAACTAAATAAAAAGATCAATCAATCAGTTGACAACATATTCATTGCGGATATTTGAGTGAGAACCGTCAGAAATTCATCGAAGGATAATAGGTGATCTAATTCATATGTGATTTTGGTTAATTATCAACAAGAATAACTTACCTTTATCGTGATCAGCAAAATCTATCATGTTTTTGGCTTCTTCAGCAGTTATAGGTAGTTGTAAAGTATTCATTATGGTTAATAACTCATTAACATCGATCATTCCATCTATTCGAAAGATTATTCTTCGATATACAATTGAAAGAGTGTGTGGTTTACCTTTGTTAATATCAAAATATTCAAACGCGATTTTCAAATCGAGACGATGAAGTGCTTCGTCTTCTAAGCGTAGTTTTTCTTCATAATCAAGCACGAGTAATGCAAAATGTTCGAAATCCAACAAACCAGATGTACCGTTCAGTTGATGTTCAGTCAGAAAATCTTGATAGAGAATGTCCTTTCGTGGATCGTGCTCGAGGGCTATGAAAGCATCAGCAAGACGCTCAATCGAGACTAAATCAACGTACTCATTTGCAGCAAACAGTTCTATCATCTTACTCGGTTGAAAATTACCAATGGTGTTAAAAATCTGACGCATTGATTTGAGTTTATCGGGCGGAATTGCCCGTTTGTTTTTCGCGAATTCGATTAGTTTTGTCGATTTCTTTAGCAGAACATTGTTATTATCGAATAATTGAGTACTTGATGCTACATTATCTCTTCCAATCGATCGAACAGAACTACGTCGAGTCGAACTATGACTGTTTGTTCGTTTCATTGACATCAAATGAGATAGAAACAGTCTCATTTTAATTAACTGTGAAAGCGACACATGATCTAAAAGGCTAAATAGTACAATTGCACAGACATGTAAGTCTATCCTATTAGCCTTGTCAATTGCTTGTAAAAACATTTTGAAACAATAATTATTAGACGAATAATCTCTGCCAGATGAGACAAGCAAAACCATTTAGATCGATTAGAAAAAAGTACATTTTTTCACGGGTTAGCTACTTTCGAGAGTATTTTTTCTAAATCGTTATGATCATTCTTTCCATCAGCAACAGCAGCGCATCGGTACTTGGTGTGTTTTTCTTCTTCAATCAATGGACATCTGTGACCACCTATCATCATCAGCAATGATGGTACACTTTCCCTCCTCTTCCTCCTTCATCGACATGAAAAAGAAAATCACACTCTCATTTTTTCTCTCTTCATCATCATTTAAATACAACGATGGACGATCAAACGTCAGTTGTTGCCAGCAGTTAACAAATGGGACAATGAATTTCTTTTCATGTGTATCTATTCCGACGAAGTATAAATACGGATGAAGTTCATGCGCATTCTTTTACCAGTTACAAGAAGAAATGATGAACCGGTACGACGTTTTGATTGTTGCTCAGAGAGTCTGCCAATATACGAGTGACTCTGTGACAGCAGTCAAAATCTTCCACGGTTAATACTCCTCGATTCGATGTTCTGTTATGTATTTTCTTCTTTTTCTATATAATCGATTATTAAATAAATCAATCAGCTTTTGTTTGGATAACGATTAGTGTATGATAATATGACATTTAGCAGTTTGAAGATCTTTCGAGCGGCGGCCTCAGATTAATTCGCGTTTGATTTATTAAACAGATGACACGATCAAGATTAATTTAACTTCTTCTTGCATCAGTTATATAATCTGAAAATCTTATGAAATAAATAATTGTCTATTTGATCTATACATTTGCTCGACATACTACAGTATGTTACAGATGTTTCGGATGTAAAAAGTTATTCCTATACAAATTGCCGCTTGTCCGTGACCTCAGTTCTAAGGCTAGAAGGATTCTTTTTCATAAGACACTTATCCCTCATCTATTACCAACATTGATTTCTTCATCTAATAAACTAAATTGCCTATTTAGTGTTTGGTCAGCATACAAAGGTTATAACACATCGGAGAGCAAGCAAATGCCTCGATTGTCATTTTATTCGTCTTCTCCCATGTCTGTCTGTCTGTCCGTCCGTCAGACTCAATCGTACATTAACTGTAGTATATACAAATACCTACGCATAGTTTACTAGAGTACGATGCTGCTCGCGTAATCTGTCGAGAGAGAGAGAGAGAGAGAGAAGGGGAACGGGAAGGGGAGATATCGTTGATAAAGAAGGGGATACCAATCAGCCTTATCTCTTCTCTTTTCTGTATACTTGCCTAGTTTCACGGACGAGGGGGGGGGGGGGAAGAAACAAGAGAGAGAAGAAAATTCTCGGGGTAAAGACTTCTTTTTCCCACGATCATTTTTGCTTATCCAACAATAACATATACACACAGCGGACAACTTGCATTTATTCAGAAAACACGCATTCATATGGCATCAAAATCATATTTCTTACTTTTGATCACTATTCTTTCATGTCAACAATTTCTTCTCATTCAAGTAAGTCAATCTATTCGATAGCGAAGATTCACAGAGCTTCTCATGAAGACAACCGCATTCCTTGGCATAGATATAGGTCAGTCAGCCATACGAACATCGAGGGACAAAGTCTGCGCTGATGATATCTTCCAATTAAATGATAGATATATTTCTGTCATCGATAGAAACAACACTAATCAGATACAAACAAAATATACCGACGCAATAATATCTACGTTAGCCTGAAATATGTCATCATTATCTATTGTACCAAAAAAAAACGCGACAACCAATGACTTTCCTACACGGAAATGTTAAGTAAATACATCTCGGCTGTTGATAGCTATCCACCTCTAAATCGTTTATCAAGAGAAGTTCTTTCTTTTGGAATGCGAATGAAAAACCGCAAAGAATTTTAAACACGATTTTTCTTGAAGATAATTGCTATTTATGCGATTACATCATAGATACGGAACAGTTCTTGAAATATGAAAGGGCGAAGGATTGATATGTCAAGGAGCATTCCTCATTGTTCTGATCAATGTATTCTACCGTTCTTGATTCTTTTTGCTTTAGGCAGAATCGGAAACAAAGGTGGAAGTACAAGATGAAGCCGTTAAAATCGACGAAAACAAACCTTTGAATGACTTTCAAGGTAGAGCTTCCTATCGTTTGGAGTATTTCAAAACATTTTCGTGATAATAATCATAGATCGGTGTGCCAGTACCAAATGCCGTGATGGTGAAACGTGCGTTCTCAACAAGGATGGTGATGCCGAATGTGCTTGTATTCCACAATGTGAAGATCCTAAAGATGAACGTTTAATGGTATGAGAAAGAAAACCTATTCCATTCGATGTCTAATTCATGTATCAATTAGGTTTGTACAAAAGCCAACCATACCTATACGTCTGACTGTGAATTTTTCCAAATGCAATGCTGGTGCCGCAAGAAAGATGAACGTTGCACCCGACCAGAGGCAGTAACAGATGTCATCGACTATTTCGGACGATGTCAAAGTGAGAATTCTGAAAAAGTTTCAATTCACTTCGAATGATTCTTTCGTCATCGGAATAGATATTGGTGTTTGCACTGAATTTGAATTGGACGTGTTCCCCAAGCGTATGAACATTTGGCTCGGTGAAATTCTCGATGCATTGGTTCGTACGAAATTCATCACGGATATTTCAAACAGTTGCTTTTGCCTCAATTTCAGTTTGTTCGAAAAGATCTCGATGCTAAGTATGCTGTTTTGGTCGATGAAGCACGCAAAATGAAACTATCCAATACTGAAAAATGGTGGCGTAACGCTGTACTCTGGGAATTCTGTGAACTCGACCAAACTCATGATAAGTAAGTTAGAAAATCTTCCTTTTCGCGAAAATAACTAGCACTTGTTTGATACTTAAAGTGCCGTTAACAACGAAGAATTAGCTCGTTTTGTTCGATCATTAAAAGTTCTCGAACATTGCATTCAACCATTCTTAGATCATTGCGATACCGATAATGATAACAAGATTTCATCGGAAGAATGGGGTACATGCCTTGGTCTTGATAAAGGTATGAATAGAATCTCTCTTCGTTCTCAACTGATTAATTGATCTTTTCTTTTAGACGATATGGCGTTCTTGAAAACGTTCTGTTCACATTAAATCAAACGTATTTGATCCTTCATTGGAACAGTATACCGATTCTAAAACTTATGCGTACGCTTTGTGTGGCTTCTTTCTTTTGAGTGTGATTATAGAAATATTCATTTATTAAATAATATATATTTGACCGTCTGAACGAATGTATTTGTTATCAAGAAGATATAACCTTCGATTAGTACTGCTGTCTGCTTTCCCATCATTCGATCAATCGACAGGCAGACCGATGAAATATTTTCTTAAGTTTATTCTTCTTTTCTCCATTGACGATGAAAATCCAGCAGAAAAAAATATGACGTAGATAACAAAAAAAAAGAAATAACAACAACAACAATAACTAGAACAACAACAATAATAATAATCATAAGAACCGAGAAGAAAAAAATGACTATAGGCGTAAATAGATGTATGAAAGAGAAGAAAGGGTTTTATCGTCATATCAATTGAAGTTTTTATGTTGACAATGAGATTGGATGTAGAGAAAAGGCTTAAAAGAATCCAGTGGCTACATACTATGAATAGATGCAGAGAGGGAGAGAAAAAAAAGTAATGTCTTCATTTAAAATCATTGCCCATGAATTTTACTGTTTTTGTTTCAAATTGACTTCACTGATAATCGAGATACCCCCACTTGATCCATGAGATTTATTCCAATCGGTAACGCATAATGTACCTGTTGATAAAAATGTGATGGAATAGGGCTCTTGGATTGATTTACATTTGTATTCTTCGACATTCGAATCTTTATCAATAGAGACCAAACGATGATTGAGTTTATCGGGTATCAAGCATTTTTTATCGTTATCAACGTAGATCGAATACGATTGTAAGCTTTGAGGAATGTTGTATGACGATTTCGGTGTTGCATTCGAGTTATCATACTCATCGAGATGACATTTGTCTTGACGATGTGTTAAAACAAACG